GGCTTTGTACTGTGAATCCTACTCAGAACTGATGAATATTTGTGTAGGGCATTCACTGCAGACTGTGTCCTTTTCCCTATTCAGAAAAATGCTAAGCACTCAGTTCTCTGTAAGAAAGTGGCAAGACATCTGAGATGCTTGTAAATGTCTCCTGGATGGTCAGTATTTGTTGAGATTTTTCTGAGTGAAGAAGCAAGGGCAGGAAGATAAGAATTGCGTAGGAAGGCTGAAGCCACATGCTCCACTAGGCCACAGTAAGAGAAGAGTGTTTCTGTGCTTGAAAACAGTCTGTAGTTTTTGTTTTTATTTTGTGTGTGTGTGTGTGTTGTTTTTTTTGTTTATATCTTGCTATTTTTTCTCCATTCCATGGAATGCTGCTTTTATCTGCTCTGGGAATTCAGGGCTTGAAACAAAAGCAGAAGAGGCAGGAGAATACTGGGCAGCCCTAGCAACCCCCTGCCCTGCTGTGTGAGCCAGAGTTGGAGAGCTCTGGCCTGGTTTTGTTGCTCTGATGGATATTGTGCACTGCAGTCTGTGAACTGTATCAAATCTCTCCACTCCCCTGCCTTGCCATTGCTGCTGACTTTGCTTGCTGTGTTTATGAATGTGACAGTCAAACCCATCAGAGGCACAACTTGCCTGCTGATCTGTGAGCCCGCCTGCCTTGCTTCAGAGGGAACCCAGCTGGCAGCAGCAGGCACTGTGCTGATTTCTAGGAAGGCTGTATCAGAGCATTGAGGTTTGGACATCTCCTAGGTACATGCCAGCCTAGGAGGTATTCCTCCTGCATGCCTTCAGAAAGATGATATTTTGCTTACATGTACTGCAGAAGGTGCCGGAAAACATTTTCTACTTCTAGTTCTTGTATGAACAAAGAATTTTCAACATGGCAGGAAGACATGCAGAATGAGGTGTTTTTGGTGAGGTAGAGACCCTTATCTTTCCCATAGTTACTGTGCCAACATACAACGTGATGTTCAAACTGGATTATATATTGGGATAGTTATTTTCATAAATACCCCAAGTGAGCATAACTAAATAAAAACCTGAGATGCCTTGACTTGTTTGCAATGAGAACAGGCAAGGTCGTTTTAAGGAATGGCATACCATCTTCTGGCCCCCACAAGGTGACACAGATAATATTTTTATTTCTTTTGAATTGCTGCGAGCGCTGACTGTTAAATAGTGTTGTTCCAGGAGCCCCGGTGTGGCAATGCAGCTTCCCATCAGAACCTGTCCTTCCTTCCTGCTGTTTGGGGCTATCGTACAGGAGATTTGAGATCTGCTGCAGTTGTTTTTGCTGACATTGATGTTAGTTTCAGTAATACATGGCTGCTTATTATCTGGGTGAGGACAGGGCTAGTAGCTGCATTGCACTGATTTCTTTAGCAGTGCTGTGGCCTTTGTGAAGGTAGCTCCTGGAAGCAGTGTTTGCAGGCTGCTTTCCTCATTTTCACTGTTGGCCTGAAAGATCCCTAATTACAAGACAAGATGGCATTTTCATATCTTTTCCAATGTAGTTAACTTTTCCTTTGCCTCTGTCTGTGGTTGTTGCCCTTTTCACAGCAGAGTAGGATCTTTCTCTGTGCTCAGGCATTCTTGGGCAGCAAATCTCCTTAGTGCTATAGTTCCTATAGTAAGAGGTAGCTCTGCAGTTCTCCTTTTCAGCTCTGAATCTCATTTGCTGGGCTTGGTGGCATATGTTTCAGTCCTTTAATTAAGTCCTCCTTTTGTCTCTCTATCTGCCAGAGCACACGCTCCCATTTTTCTTGTTGCAGCACTTAAACATAATTTGGTGTCAAACACATGCTCTGTGATTGGGGTCCAACCAGATTTACTTGCAAATGTGTCTGGGTCAATAACATTTGTTTCAATTAGATTTACAAAGAGCCATTTTGGCTATCTGGTGTGTTAGTCAAAGGGGAGTTTGTGGGGAGACTAGGAGCAGGGAGGGTGCTGGCTCTGCCAGCCAGTTAACTAATTGATCATTTGAAAAAAAAAAAAAAAAAAAAAGAGGGTGTAGGGAGGAAGAAATTCGTAGACAGGTGCAAGGGAAATGTGATATCACTGGCCTGTGGCTAAACAGGGCTATAGCAGTTTCTGCTAAGGGAGTAATCAATAGTTAGGACTTAGCCTGCCGTTTTTTGATATGGACTACTTTGAGATATAAAAATCAGTAGAGCCAAGCAATTTTGATTGCAAATGGCATTGTGACCACAGTTGCCTAAATGAGTGAAAAACACTTTTAGCAAGGCTGAGCCAAAGCCGCCGTAGGCTGGGAAGAATTTGCTATTACCCGGTATTTTTTCTTACCAGTATTTTCCCCTCAAAATGTAAGATGGAGGTTTTCACATGGCAGGAATCTAAGTTCATGCACCCCAATAAGAAGGCTGATTCAGCAGCCTTGTTACCCCTGCAGTCACCACGAGGAATCTGACATCCCACTGATGCTAAAGGGAACTGTGTGCCCAGTGCCTTTCATAATATATCTGAGGTGCTTAGCTTGAACTACACTGTACATTGTCCTCAGAAAACAGATGAGATATCTAAATTGCACTCTGTATGTTTTGATGTTTTGCAAAACTGTAATTATCTTTGGGCAAAATATAATCCATTAGTCTTATTTACCTGCAAAGTGCTTGAATGACTTTTCCCGGAGTTTCAAAGAATCTACTAAGGAGTCAAGCTTAATACTGTGGTACTCTCCTGGGTCTATGATTTCTTTGTAAGGTTACATTATGCATCCAAACTATGTGGGTTTTGTTTGTTTCCTAAGTACAGGGCTGGTCAGGTCCAAGCATTGTTTTGTATTTTTCCACTGCTTGAGCAGTGAGAAAGGAAAATTTCTCTAGAGTCAATTACTAATAATTGTATATGTTAACTCTTTTTTTTATTTCCTATACCTGCTGTCTGTTGCATTGCCTCCTACGGTACTGACCTAAAACCAGGCCAGAACCAAATGACTGCACGCACACACCAATATGATGAACAGCAAAATGGCCTTTATTACACGTGAACTCTAGCTTATATAACCTATGTGCTTCGTCTACGCCCCTAAGGGCACGTGCCACACATCAATCATAGAACAGGGAGAGGGCCTATTGCGTCACATCCTGTGGGGGTGTCTTGCAGTTGCTGACAACATCTCCCCCTCTCCAAGCTCAAGAAAGTCTACTACAACTCGAAAGGACCCTACCCGCGTACACCTCGAAATCCCCGCATTGCGCCTATACACGCCATTGTCCTCACGGTTAAGCCTTGCCCCATTACATCCCGATTCGCAGAATAATCCTACCCTAATAACCCTATAACCTATCAACCTAATTACAATCTATTAACTTAATAATCCTAATGTCTTAAACGTGAGTTCTACATAAAACTATATATTGCATTCTTAGACGATGCTGATTCGTTCGTCTTAGCATTTGCCATACGAGTCATTTGTCTCAGCATACACTATACCTATATATGTATAATATACCTATATACCTAATATGACTATATACTTATATGCCTATATGCCTATATGCATAATATGACTATAAGCACTAAGCGTATTAATGTTAGACCTAATGCAACTATAATTGAATATAGAATAGAGTTAAACAGAGTTAAACATTCCCGTCGCATTGGTGGACCATCCCAGCACTTCCCATCAGTGGTGTTCTCCATCCTTCTTTGCTCCAAGACGTGATGTCTCTCTCTCTTGTGTCGTGGTGAACAGCAATGAAGGCTTTCTGTCCACTGCCTCTGATGTGTTTTAGCAGTTGGTACCTCTAAAGGTACCTAAAGGTGTTAGCACGAACACCTTTCTTTTGTGGGTAAGCTATTCAGGAGCAACTCCTCTTGTTCTTTCCGCAATCTGGGCCTTCCCAGGAATCAATGCTAAATGGGAAGACTTATGTTCCAGTTAGTTCCTTGCTGATGTCTGGCCTAATTTTTCGTGACGGTATCCATACTATTTTTCCCGTTTCGCAATGTTTTACTGCTGCATAACCTCTTCCCCATACCAGAATCATCCAGCCCGCCTACCATTCCCCACTATCTGCTTTTATTTTTACTGGAGGCCCTTCGCTCAAAAGGGCTTCTACTGCAATCTCCACGTTCGAAGTGATTCAATGAGTAAATGGCTTTAGATAGAATCTCTGCTTGTCTTTTAACAGGAATTGCTCTCCGACACCCTTCTCCCTCACCCAGGACGCGTAACTTTTCCTTGAGGAGGCGATTGGCACGTTCTACAATTGCTTGTCCCTGAGAGTTGCCAGGGATTCCTGTGGAATGAGATATCCCCAAGCTGTCAGCCATTCCTGAGTTGATTTTGAGATGAAGCAAGACCCATTATCTGTTTTTATCTGGCTGGGCAACCCCATAGTGGCTATTGCAGCGGCCCAATGACTCTGTGCTGCGGTTGAATTGCACTTTGCATGTTGAGTGACTGATATCATAGAAGAAGCTGTGTCTACAGTAACGGCGAGCCATGGACGAGGGGCCATACGGGGTTCCCATGTAAAATCTGTCTGCCAGATCTGTAATGGCTTTAAGCCACGGGGCTTAACACCTGCACCAATAGTTGGGGCAGAATTGCAATATGGACATGCCTGAACTACGTTACGAGCTGTTGGCAAGGGAATAGAACAGGCCTGTGCCAAAGCCTTGGCACCTATATGAAGAGATGCAAGAAGATCATGTGCAGTTCTGACAGTGAAGCATGCTGTGCCTGCAATAATTGATGTGATGTCACCAACGCTAAATACTTAAAGCGATACTGGTAAAGTTATAGACAAAGAGATTAGAGATTATAGTGATTAGAGTGATTGCTGATAGCTCTAGTGGCACTATCTATGAGTATGAAATTACAAAGGATCCGTATACAAACATAACCAGGTTATTTTCCCAATATATGCCAACATTGTCTCAGGTACCTGTTGGAATGTACCTCCAAATGACAAACATTTGTTCAATATCAAGGCAGATGTCTCAAATCCTTGTTGCTTGTTCTCCAGGCCTCAATCTGGCCCTGTCCCTGAAGGGAACCCATTTTGATGCCCACAGTGTATACTGGATTGGTTTGAAAACCATGCACATCAGATTTGTTGTATCACGAGGAAAGAGAAGACCTGATGCTGTCAGGACTTCTAATGCATTTAGAGCAAGGAGTGATTTCAATCCCTGTTTCTCTGCACAATCTATCAGGTGTGTGATGTCTTTCGGATTGAGGGGTACCCCTTCTGGGCCTCTGTTACCGTTCCCTACTATCAAGAAGATCTCTAGTATTTTTCCTTCCTCTATCAGGCTAGATCTAAACTTCCCACAATCTGTTAGTGCATCTCTCTTAACTCCTAAATGCAAATTCACCTCTCCTTTCACTATCTTTTTCAATCACAGCTGGAAGCTGCGGGCTCCGCACCCCTCCCCTCAGACCCATCTCCCTTTGATCATGCACTGACTGTTGTAGAGACTTCTGATTGGTTGCATGCGCACTCAATCTTGTAAAAGGATATGAGGGTCGAATCAGTGGGTCTGAATGGTGTGGTAGGGAGTGGGTCCGGAGACTCTCTTCATTTTGTCTTTCTCCTACGGGTGCAACCTGAGCCGACAGCGCTGCCCACACGCCATCTACTCCTTCAGGCGCGATCAGGGTGGACAGTGCTGGCCGGACGTTATCATCCGAGCGCCTGTAAGTTACATCGCTTCCCTTTCTATCTGCTGTTTTTTCTTCTACCGCCTCTCTAACTTTTGACCAATCCATACCCGAGCCTTGCCCGCAGTCCCCACCCCTCTGGGTGTTACTGCATTCCACCTCCTCAGAGGAGACAGCAAGTGTCCCATCCCAGCTCACTTCTTTCCCTGCCCCCGCAGGTGGTATTAGATTACACAGAGAAGGATACAGCGGTTGTCGTGGATACGGCTGGGGAGTTTCAACGACCTTGGATTCCTGCACTCGGCTGGTGTTGCATGATAAAAGTGCAGACAGTTTAGTGCAGTCTTCTTCTACTTGTTTATGCGAAGCTGAAGCCGAGAGGGGAGCGAAGGGGGGTGCCGATGGTGCGGATGAGATGTTAGTCGCCATAGCTGAGGGCATATTTGCCATGTTCTCTTCCTCAGGGGACCTGCAAGAAAGTACGCTTCCCACGCCACTTCTCATGGCATTAGTAAATTCCAAACCCATCATAATGTGTGCAGCCTCAGGAATTCTATCTTCTTCTCTAGCGGCTTTAACAGCCCCAAGAATTAACCCCCAGATTTTTAGCTCTGCTGCTTTTTGCTCCTCTATCGCACGTTGCGGTCCCGTTTATCAGGATCTAAAATGTCCTGAGAGGAGGGAAGATTCCACTCCTTTTCCAGGTGAATAAGTACAACTGAAATGTCCTTCTTAGAAGGGGCATTCCTGCTGTGATAGTCCTTACAGAACTGAAAGATCAACTTAATAACGTGATCCATCACCAGCACGGCCCTGATGTCCCGATTTGAGAGCAACCTGCCATTAACCACAGGCTATCCCCACCCTCAAACTTCCACAGCAGCCAGCTGCTGCAGGCACGCCCTTAGGCGAATACCGTAGCACCACGGTCTTCCACGGCCAACCCATAATTACCTCATTATGGCATTGGAAATTCCGCAGGCTCGCAGGAGACTTTAACGCAAGTTGGCTTCTCATGCAAGGGGGATCCTCACAAGTGGGTTCCGCACTGGTTCCTCACATGGGGCACCAATGTTGCATTGCCTCCTACGGTACTGACCTAAAACCAGGCCAGGACCAAATGACTGCACGCACACACCAATATGATGAACAGCAAAATGGCCTTTATTACACGTGAACTCTAGTTTATATAACCTATGTGCTTCGTCTACACCCCTAAGGGCACGTGCCTCACATCAATCATAGAACAGGGAGAGGGCCTATCGCGTTACATCCCATGGGGGGGTCTCGTAGTTGCTGACAACAGCTGTCTTAGAATGTTTGTAAGTAAAATTAACAGCAAAACTTTACACTGTCTTTGTGGGCATCAAAGGATGGTTCACAGTGAAGAAAGGCTTCCAGTAGTTGGAGCAGGCCAAGGCACAGCTGGAAATGCTGTTAGTAGAACTGACCTATGGGAAAAGAGAGGTTTCTACTTCTGAAACTTTTCTTGTTGTGATCCCTATACAAGTCCTGAATGCTCTTTATCTAAAATCTATCTAAACTTTTGTTGTCTCTGTTTGTAATTGCTATGGGTTGAATTTTGGTGTCTCTGCTGACTGTGAACTGCACCTTGTACCCTTAGGTTACCTCTCAGAACGACTGGAAACAATGTGTAGGAAGGAAGAAATAATAGTGTTGAGTACATTTCAAATCATATTGAATCCAGGCATATTCCTGTGCTTATATCTATCAGGCTAAGTTTTTAGTTTGTTGTAAAAATATTGATAGCTGTTGGGCAAAAGGTTGAACCACAGTATATCCTGAGTTGGAAGGGACCCACAAGGATCATCAAGTTCAACTCCCGGCTCTACTGAGTAGGACCCAAAATCCAAACCCAGTGTTTGAGAGTGGTGCAAAAATGCTCCTTGAGCTCTGGCAGCTTGGGGCCATGCCCACTGCCCTGGGGAGTCTGTTCCATACCCGCTGCCATCTGGTGAAGAATATTCTCTTAACCCACACTTGATCCTTCCCTGACATAGCTCCATGCCATCCCCTCAGGTCCCATCACTGTCTCCACAGAGCAAAGGTCATCAAGGTTCCAACTTACCTGTTATCAGAGGTAATTCTATACACCTCAGTTTTTTTTTATATGCTTCTTTAATTATATATCATCCATGTACTTTACATGACCTCTTCCTCAGCGATTGTGGGAAGTGGCTGGGTGCACTACTCTCCACTTTCTGCAGGTTGACTCAGTCAGACATAAACATAACATTATTGCTCTTTAGATATTTGGAATTTAAGGAATTTTAAAAAGGCCATGTGAAAACACATGCTACAGATCTGATCCCAGTTTTTACCTATGTGGATGATGCTTGTATCATTTTCAAGAAGATTAGGTTTAGTACCTTTGCAAAGCAAAAGGGACAGAGTGGGCTTTCCAGTGTGTTTAGTGTGAATACACCAATACTGGCAGCTGCATCCCCAAAACGAGAAATGGTGATGTAATAGACAAAGTACAGTGCAGATGAATGCATTAGGTTTTTGAATACCTGTTCAGATGACTTAGTCTGGAATCACAGGAAGAATAAATAGTAATCTCTACGCTGCCACTTTTGTCAGTGTTCCTTATCAGAATATACTTGAAAAATTTTGGAGGGTGTCAGATGTCAGTGAACTGGTGGAGCTCCCCACTGCCTCTGTGATGCAGCTCTGATGGAGCTGCTCTGACCTTTGGAACCTGAACCAAGAAACTGATTTATGACAGTAAATTACATGACCTCTCGTCCTAACAGGATCTCATTGCCCTGGTCTAGCCGCTGAAGAAGCTGCACTTGTATTCGAAATTGGATGTACAGAGATAATTTGTCTGCAAAATAACAGAGTAGAGATTAAGGAAGCAGCCTGCTTTTGTGAGCAGTGAGATGGCTCTGGCTTCCATGCTGCTTCAGCTGCTGTCTCTTGACCTTGATTCCCTGACTCTGAGTGAAGGGGATAACTGGCCTCAATCAACCTCGAGGTGCAAAACAGAACAAAAGCAGTAGAAAAGCAGCTGCTTCTAAGTAGAGGACTCCAGGGAGAGTGTGGGACTGATTTAGTATATTGCTGAGGGGCACTTAATTCCAGCTGACTTCATGAGTCTTTGGTAGCTTGTGTAAATTTACAGATCATGAGCAAATGTACACTATGCTCTGAGGATGCTTTATATGAAGAGGAGTGCTTAACCTCTGCATCTTCTCCAGAAGCAGTGCACAGACAAGGGGGTCTTTTTGAAGAGGCCCCTTTTAAAGGGTCCTTTTTGACGATAGCTCTTGACAGTGTTGTGGTGAGGCAATGTGTTTATCTCCATGTGCTGCCAGCCCCTGATGCTGGTGCCACCTGTTTTCCTTCCCACTGCACAGCTGTGTCTTTGTGTACAATTTCTGAAATGGCTTTTTGACATCTGTGTTTTAGCTCCCTTGGGACCCATCACTTGCAGTCCTAGCTCACTGTGCTCTCTCTCCCTTTCTCTGTAGCATCAGCACTATAAATGTTTCTTGCTTAAATCGCCACTCACTGAAGGAGTAGAAAAGATTTCTGACAGAGTTTGTCTTAATGGCAATGAAATATTCACTATTGTGATCTCACCCATTAGCAAACACCATAGATTTCTTTCATTTGTAGTTGATTCAGAATGACATGAAAACAAGAGCAAGAACATGGTCAAGTCTTCTGCAAAGAACAGAGCTCTGATCATGCATTTGTTTCATTCCAGGACTTGAATTCCTCATGGTGGTAACTTGCTGGAGATGGCTCAGGGAAGGAGTGAAGAGAGGACGTGCGGTAGTCATCATTACAAAGTCTAATACTTACAAATATAGACAGCTAATGTGCTCCATGTTATGAAGCTCTTTGCTTCAAGAAGAGCTATGAGAATAACTAGCCCAGGATATACACACGAAAGCTGACTTCAGAATTGTTCAGTGTTGGCATGTGTTTTCTAGAGGTGTATAAATAGCCTAGAAATTAACCTAGAGCCAGTACCCTGGGTGCTGCAGCACGTACTGTAATGCCTGAACCACTCCTCAATGCAGGCTGCAATTAGTGGAAAAGGACTGTAGAGGCCAAGCTAATAATTACTGAAAAAATCTGGTTTCTTGGAGATGACCGATGTGTTTAAGAAATGCAGTTTGCTGAAACTTGTAGGATACATTCTATAGTTTTCTTCTTACAAACAGAATTTTAAAAATGTAATTATGTTAATGAAGTGTTCAGTATTGCAGTTCTGGGGTCACGTTCTTTTCCCAGCTTCTTACTTCTCTGACTGAATATGGAGGAGCAAGGAGGAAAAGGGAAACTTGGTATGAGACCAGAGGTGGTTTCTGCAAGTGGTTCTGAATTCTATGGTGATTGTACTGGCCTAAAGGTTAGAGACGGTTTTGATGGCTGCCATCAGGACAAGGAAGTGCCCAAAATGTCATCCCACTGCAGCCCTTTGAGATGTTCACTGAGTTTGCAGTGCAGGAGGAAAGCAGCAACATTCAGTCTTGCATAAAAATGCCAAAGTGAATGTCGTTGCAGTGAATGATTGGGCCATGGCATCCTGAAATTAATGACATTTGCTTTGTTTTCATATCTTTGTCGAGACAGTCTCTCTGCTGGATTCCCAATGTTTCCCTATTATGTACAGGCTGAAAGCATAAGAATATTCTTCTGCCCAGTCAAAGCCCAAATGAGACTTCTGACAAAAGCCTCAGTAATTAACTGGTTAATTGAATTTGAAAATGCTTGATATAAAGGTCACAGCCAGGTTTTTATTTGACCAGTTATCCTCATCTGTATAACTTCTAACCAGTTTAGTGTTATTAATATTCAAAGGATGTATCAGTCTATTATCTAACTGGCAGTCGCTACAAGGCTATCCTTCTCTTTCTGAAGGCAGTACCTCAGTTATGATTGACAAAAGTAGAAGTTTGTAAGGATCAAGAGTGAGGGGGGTTCTCCCTTAGCACAGTGCCTGCAGTGTTCTTGTGTCTGTTCTGGGAACGGGGACTTGTGTGGACTGCTGGATACCAGCAGTATTTTCAGCTAAGCAGAAGAGAAAATCAGGAATTACTGATAGCATGAATACAGCTGGCTCATTTTTGGGGCAGAAATATTTCTGAAGGCAGATGCTGTTGTGGTCTAGAGAAAGGAAA